ACACCAGGGGGGGGGGAGTCCAGAACCCCCCCCCAGGGAAAAGTAACGTGGGGGGGCTTTGGAATCCCCCCCCAGGCAGAATTGGTAGGCGGGGGTCTGGAGACCCCCGCCACTTCCCCCCCGGGAAAATTAGTGTGGGGGGTCCAGGATCCCCCCCCCCTGGGGAAATCATGAGGGGTCCACAAGCTGCCCCCCTCCCGGCGACGACGCTGACGCCGACGCCGACGCCGACGCCGACGCCGACGCGACGACGACGACGACGGCGACGGCGACAACGACGACAACGACGACAACTACGACGACGACGACGAAGACGACGGCAACGATCAAGACGACGCACGACGCATGACGCACGACGCGCGACGCACGACGCACGACGCACGACGCGCGACGCACGACGGTGGCGACGACAACGACGCTGGGTGACGCTGGGCGACGACGAGAACGACAAAGACAACGACGTCGACGACATGGCCGACGACGACGACGCCGACGACGACGACGAACGTCGGACGACGACGACGACGCACGACGACGACGACGACGACGACGACGATGGCGACGGTGGCCATGGCGACGACGACATTGACGACGACGCCGACGACTACGACGACGACGACGGCGACGATGACGACGACGCACGACGCACGGAACATGACGCATGACGCACGACAACGACAACGATGCCGACGCTGACTCCGACGCCGAGGCCGACGCCGACGACGACGACGGCGGCGGGCACGACGACAACGACAACGAAGACGACGCCGACGTCGACGACGACAACGACGACGCCGACGACGACGACGCCGACGCCGACGACGGCATCGATGACATTGCCGACGACGACGCCGACGACGACGATGACGCCGAGCCGACGTCGACGACGACGTCAACGACGCCCCGACGACGACGCCGATGACGCTAACGACGACCACGACGACAATGATGACGACGACGCACGACGACGACGCCGACGACGACGACGCACGACGCACGACGCACGACGCACGACGCACGACGCACGACGACGACGGTGGGCCACGGCGACGACGACGACGACAACGATGACGACGATCACGACGACGGCGATGACTCCGACGACAGCGACGACGCCGACACCGCCGACCACGACGCCGACGACGGTGACGATGACGACGACGGCGTCGACGACGCCGACGACGACGACGCTGGGGGACGACGACGACCACGCCGAGGACGACGCCGACGTTGACGACGACGACGACCCTGCCGACGACGACGACGACGACGATTGCGACGACCCCGACGACGACGACAACGCCGACAACGACGACGACGGCGTTAACGGTAACGACGACATTGACGACCATGGCAACGATGACGACGACGCCGAAGACGACGCCGACGACGCCGACGATGGTGACGACGACGCACGACTCACGACACATGACGCACAACGCACGGCGCACGACGACGATGCCGACGTCTGCGCCGACGTCGACGCCGACGCCGACGCCGACGGCTAAGATGACGACGCCGCCGACGACGACGCCGACGACGACGACGAAGGCGACGACGACGGCAACGACGGCGACGACAACGACGACTCCGACGACGACGCCGACGACGACAACGACCACGTCGACCACGAAGCTGACGTAGGCGACGACAACGACGACGACGCCGACGCTGACGCCGACGACACGGCGACGACGACGACAACGATGACGACGACGCACGACGCACGACGCACGACGCACGAGTCACGACGCACGACGACGGCGCCGACGACGCCGCCGCCGACGACGCCGACGTCGACGCCGACGACGACGCCGATGCCGTCGCCGACACCGACGCCGGCGACGACGCCGATGATGCCAACGACGACGACGACCACGACGACGACTACGACGAAGACGACAAAGACGACGACGTCGATGACGACGACGACGCCGACGACGCACGACGCACGACGCACGACGCACGACGCGTGACGCACGACGACGACGCTGACGCCGACGACGACGCAGACGACGATGACGACGCTTCCGAAGACGACGACGTCGACGACGACGCGGACGACGACGACGACGCGGACGATGCCGACGACGCCGACGCTGACGACGCCGCTGCCGACGACGACGAAGACGACGAAGATGACGACGATGATGACGGCGACGACCATGCCGACGACGACGACCACGCACAACGCATGTCGCACGACGCACGACGCACGACAACGACGCCGACGCAGTCGCCGACGCCGACGACGTCGATGTCGATGCCGACGACGACGACAACGACGACGACGACGACAGCGACGACACCGACGACATTGACGACGACGATGCCGTCGCGGACGACGACGACGTTGACGCCGTGGCGACGACGCCGACAACGGTGACGTCGCTGACGACGCCGACGAAGAGGCCGACCACGACGACGACGCCGACGACGCCGACGACGACGACGCCGACGACGCCGACGACGACGACGACGACGTCGCGGACGACGACGACGACGACTTTGACAACGCCGACTCCTACGACGCACGACGCACGACGCATGACGCACGACGCACAACGCACGACGCACGATGACGACGACGACGCCGATGCGGGCGCCGACGACGACACCGACGCTGACGCCGACGACGACGACGGCGGCGACGACGAATACGACGACGACGATGACAACGATGACGACGACAACGGCGACGCGGACGACGACGCCGACGCCGCCGACGACGACGATGCTGCCGACGTCGTCGATGGCGATGCCGATGGCGACGACGACGACGACGACGACGGAGAGGATGAAGAGGACGACGAAGACCAGAGTAGAGTACGAGTACACTAGAGTATAATAAGGGAGTGCAGTAGAGGTAGGGTAGAGTCGAGTAGACTAGGTTGGGATACGGTAGGGTAAATTTGAGTAGGGTAGAGTAGTGTAGATTAGCGAGGTGTAGACCATATTAGAGTTGGGAAGGAGTCCAGTCGATCATCTTACAATAGCGTAGAGAAGAGTTTTTGGGTAGACTAGAACAGAAATATAGAGTAGAGCGGAGCTGAGTCGAGTAGAATAGCTTTAGAGTAGGAGTAGAGTAGAACAGGAGCCAAGTAGAGTTGAGTAGAGTATGGTGGGGATGTTAGAGCAGGGTCGAGTAGAGTAGAGTAGAGTAGAGTAGAGTAGAGGAGCAGTGGAGTAGAGTGGAGTACAAGCAAAGTGGAGTAGAGTATAGTGTGTTAGGGTACGGTAGGACAGAGTAGAGCAGGGTAGAGTAGTGTAGGGCAAGCAGAGTCGATCAGGGCAGAGTATATGCGTAAAGTAGAGCAATAATATAGTAGACCAGAGCAGAGTAGAGTAGAGCTGGAGTAGAGTGGAGTAGAAGAAAAGTAAAGTATAGTAGAGAATGTTAGGGTGCAGTATAATAGAGTGGAGTAGGGCAGAGTGGAGCAGAGTGTAGTGGAGGAGAGTAGAGTAGAGTAGAGAAGGAGTGGAGTAGAGTAAAGTAAGAGCAAAGTTGAGTAGAGTGGAGTCTGTTAGGGTATGGTCGGGTAGAGTAGACTAGGGTAGAGTAGACGGTGGCAGAGCAGAGTGGACTTGAGTAGAGTAGAGAAACGCTGGGTAGAGCCGAGTAGGGTGGAGTAGCGTAGAGTACAGGAAGGCCCTGGTGCGACACTGGAAGGGCTAGACCGAGCCCCAGTAGCATTCTACCAGAGCCGGCGCCTAACGCGGGCGCTGGCGACAGGTGCGCCGCCGCCGCGGCTGACGTCGTCGTCGTCGTCGTCGTCGTCGTCGTCGTCGCGGTCGTCGTCGTCGTCGTCGTCGCGGTCGTCGTCGTCGTCGTCGTCGTCGCGGTCGTCGTCGTCGTCGGCGTCGTCGTCGTCGTCGTCGTCGTCGTTGTCGTCGGGCGTCGGGCGTCGGTCGTCGGTCGTCGGTCGTCGGTCGTCGGTCGTCGGGCGTCGGGCCTCGGGCGTCGTCGGGCGTCGTCGGGCGTCGTCGTCGTCGTCGTCGTCGTCGTCGTCGTCGTCGTTGGGGGGGCTGCAGCCCCCCCCGTGGTTTTCCCTTGGGGGGGTGTCCGGACCACCCCATTAGTTTTCGTGGGGGAGGGGGGGGGGATCAGACCCTCTCCATTAATTTTTCCGCGGGGGGGGGGGGGGGTGGAAGGGGGGGGGTTTCAGACTCCCCCCCGCTAATTCCCCCCGGCGGGGAGGGTTCAGTACCCCCAAGATTTTCCTCCCAGGGGGGGCGATAGGTGCAGACTTTCACGACGACGAAAGTGCACGGCGCGAAGGCGAGGGCCCCATTTTGAAGAGGAGCCGCTATTCATTCTTGTGTCTGTTCCAGTCTTGAGGCGAGGGTGCGCGGCTCTGAGGCGAAAATCCCATTTTGACAACTACTCCCCTCCATCCTTTCAGCTGTTGCAAAGCTTCAAGACGAAGGTGCGAGGCGTTCAGGCGAGAACCCCATTTTCAAATCATCCCGCTCCGTCCCTGTAGCTGCTGCAAGGGCTTAGCACGAATGTTGTCGGCGCTGAGGCGAGAACCCCATTTCGAAAGCCACCCCCTTTCATCCTTCCAGTTGTAATAAGGTTTAAGACACATGTGAGCGGTGGTAAGGCGAACGCCCCAATTGGAAGCCACCACTTCCATTCTTGTAATTCGTGCAAGCTTTGAGAAATAACGTGCCCGGCTTTAGTATTTTTTTCTTTTTTAGTAGTAGCTCCTGCAGTTTTCGGGTTTCAGGATCGTGTGACTGGTGGGGAAGTTTCCAGCGAAACGCCCAGCCCGTTGTACCGACACGTCTGGGGGTGCGACAAGGATTTTTCTAAGAGCGAATTGGAGGAATATGAGGGGGAGGAGGAGGAGGAGGAGGAGGAGGAGGAGGAGGAGGAGGAGGAGGAGGAGGAGGAGGAGGCGTTTCCCCGGGCACTTGCCGTCCAGCGGCGGCTGGCCATACCGCGGGCCGGCAACGGGGGTGCCTCGAAGGCGGGGGTGGGATTTGTCCCCTCTCAGGAGGACGCGGACGCCCCCGCACTGCTACAGCTCGATCGGCGTGGTGACACGGCGCTGCTGGGACGGCCGTCGTCGTAATCATCGTCGTAATCATCGTCGTCGTCGTCGTCATCGTCGTCGTCGTCGTCGTCGGCGTTGATGTGGTTGTCGTCCCCGTCGCCATCGTCGTGGGTCGTCGTGGGTCTGAAGGATTGAGTATGATCAAGCGCGCGGACCTGGAGCGGACGTCGATCATGCACATCTCGGCGGCGCGCCCCGGGGGGGAAATGAGCGGGCGCAGGCCTTCTCAAAAGGCAGCGGTGCTTCCCAGAAGCCCCGAGGCCTTTGAGAAGCACCCTGTGGCTTCGGGTAGAAGGCTTCGGAAACTGTCTGAGCCTTGTGAGAAGGCCCGCCCCCCTGTTCAGGCGATCGCAAACATGGATCAAGGGGGCGTGGATTAGCGACGGGTCCCGTTTCCAGTGGAAGCCGCGGATTTCCGCCGCCGACAGAGGCGGCACCGGCCGCATTTTGGGGAGGGCGCCGCCGCGATCCATGGATTTGGCGACCGCGCGCCAAATCCATGGATCGCTAGTCCGTGCTCGCGCGCCCCCGACCTGTGCCTTCCCCCCTCCCCCGTCCCCCCTCTCCCCGGAGTTAGGTTTTCGCCTGCATTTTTTCCAAAAATGCTGCTCTCGCTGAGGCGCCGGCCTCATTTTCGGGCCCCGCTCGTTCCGAATCGTGCTCTCGCTGCAGCGCTGGCCTCGTTTCCGTGCTTCCGCTCGTTCCGAATCGTGCTTCCGCTGCAGCGCTGGCCTCATTTCCGCGCTTCCGCTCGTTTCGACTCGTGCTCCCGCTGCAGCGCTGGCGTCATTTCCCGTGCCATGCCACGGCATGCAATGCAATGCAATGCCAGGTTGATACTACGCTTCGCGGTGCTCTTCTACGCCATGCCATGCCGTGCATCGCGTACCCTTTCGGGATCATCGCCCTGCTTGACATCCGACCGTGCGAGTAGAGAGGGGATCTGCGCCATCGTAAGGGATGGGAAGGAGGGGTAGGATGTCAGATATGACGCGACAGCACCTAGCTTGCCCCTCCTCCCTCCACAATTACTCAATATGAATACTACTCTCCCTCTTCCCCCGATGGCGGCCTGAAAGTATTAGACCCCCCCCGCGTATTTTTTTTACACACAGGATTCCCTGGAGTTGGGTTTTCGCGTGCGTTTTTTTTCAAAATGCTGCTCTCGCTGAGGCGCCGGCCTCATTTCTGCTCCCGAATCGTTCCGGATCGTGCTCCCGCTGCAGCGTGGGCCTCATTTTCGGATCGGTGTTTGGCCTCCGTCGTTCAGGATGGCGTTCTCGCCCCAGCGCGGGCCTCTTTCTCGCGCGCCCATCCGCCCGCCACCACCGCGCCGCGCCACCACCACCACCACCACCACCACCACCACCACCACCACCACCACCACCACCACCACCACCACCACCACCACCCACCACCACCACCACCACCCACCACACACCACACCACCACCACCACACCACCACCACCACCACCCCCACCACCACACACACACCACCACCACCACCACACCACACCACCACCACCACGCACACACGCACGCACGCACGCACGCACGCGCACCACCACCCACTACGCACGCGCGCGCGGAGCCACAGGTCCGCTACGACACGCGTCCGCGGATAGAGAAAATCAGCGCCATGGTAAGGGATGGGAGGGAGGGGTAGGACGTCAGATATGACGCGAGCGCACCTAGCTTGCCCCTCCCCCCTCCCCCCTCCCCCCTCCCCCGACTGGGCGCGCCGCCGAACCTCCGGAACTGGGAGCAGCTGTCCGCGACCTGCGCGGTGGGGGCGCACGTCGCGTGCCCGGGCAGCGGGAACATGTGCGCGGGCGACCAGTGCTGCCCGGCCATCAACGGGGACGGCAGGTCGACCTTCATATGCCCGTCTGCGAGCCCTGGGCTCTCAGGGGAGGAACATGCACCCAGGTCTCTAACGACGTGTTACCTGACAGCGTTTCTCCAGGCCTCCTGGACGGGGTCGGAGTAGATGGTGTCGGAGGATCGCGCCGCGCCGCCGATGCATCGCCGATGCGGCTCGATGTGCAGCCCGATGTGCGTCACGTCGACGTCGCCCATGCATCGCCAACGTCGACGAGGCATCGCCAGTGCATCGCCGATGCATCGCCGATGCATCGACGATGTATCGCCGATGTATCGGCGATGCGGCGCGATCCTCCGACACCATCTACTCCGACCCCATCTAGGAGGCCTCTAGTTTCGCTAGAGGGTTCTAACAGAGGGAAGACAAAGAGCACAGAAGAACCCCACAGGGGGGACGGGGAGCCCGAGGACGTTTGGTCCAGCAGCCGGTGCTGCAGGCGTTTCGCCTCGGCATTCTAAGTTTTTTGGTAACGGAACGTGCTCTCGCCTCAATACCGCTACAGTTGGTCTGGACGGCCACGTTCCCTACCACAAAAATATTCGGGGTCCTGGAAAGGGGGCGTGCCCCAGGCTGTGTGTGAGTTCAACCGGTTTTGCACCGAGCCGCCCAAAACGGATGCCCTCCACCCGCCCGCAGGTCCTGATGGTTGCCGATCCGTGGGGCATGCGGGGGGCATCCGTTTTCGGCAGTCCGGTGCGGGAGGTCGGCTACAGAGGACAGGGGCTAGAGCTCTTTTTAACGAGATCCTGCCTCCTCCTCCATCCTGCCTCCTCCTCCTCCTCCCTGCCTCCTCCTCCTCCGCCTTCCTCCTCCTCCTCCTCCTCCTCTCCTCCCTCCTCCTCCTCCACCTCCCCTCGCCTCGCCATCCTCTCCCTCTCCGTCCCCTCCCTCCTCCCTCCGCCTCCTCGTCCTCCTCCTCTCCTCCTCCTCCTCCTCCTCCTCCTCCTCCTCCTCCTCCTCCTCCTCCTCCTCCTCCTCCAGGGTCACCCCCTTTTGTGGTGGATCCCGGAGTACGCTGCTGGGCACGTGGCCGTGCCGTCACCCCTGCCGCATGACCATAATCCCGTTCCAGCCAGTGCACGGCGGTGCACGTGGCCGCGCTCTCCCTGGGGGTGCACGTGGCCGCGCTCTCCCCTGACACGTCGATAGGTGGATTGTCCGTTCTCGATGCTCGAGAGGGCGCCGCGGCCGTCATTTTCCAGGCTTGCGCCCGCCAGGTTTGGGCCCGAGGTCGTTTTCACTAAGCACGTTTTACTAAAGGGGGTTCTGTCCATCCCCGATCCCCCCGATCACACGGCCACGATCCCTTTGTAAGCAGTGCGCTGCGGTGCACATGGACGTGCTCTCCGCCCTGGCATGCCCAGGAACCCCTGGGAAGATCTGGGGATGCGCGTCTTCCTTTGCCGCCCTGCTCCTCGACCCGCCTCTTCACCCTTGCTGCTATCAGGGAGCTTTGCTGGGGCCATTTTCCTCGACTTCGGCCCCTGGGGCCCGCTGGCGGGCCCCAGGACAGGCATGCACGGATCCAGGACGGAAAGCGACCCCCTGGGAGTGGGCTGGGTCTTTGGTGCCGCTTTGAACAAATCTCACTGTCGAATGTCTGGGCAAACCGACGCCGATACCGATGCCCTTCCCCTTGTCTTCGACCTCTGGGGGCCTCCCGGACGAAAAACGACCTCCAGGGATTGGGGCTCAAGAGACGGGGGTCAATGCAACCGGTGTCAGTCAGAGCGCCGGGCCTTGCAGGATCCTGCAGGGCCAGGGTCGCACTGACCCGGGCTTGGGTGCAGGATCCGGCAGGATCCTGCAGGATTTTGCAGGATCCTGCATGGCCTGACCGACCCGGGTCTGGATTGACCCGGGCCAGCAGGTCCCCGACGGAAGCCGGTCTGGATTACCGGGGCCGCTCAGAGAAAATCTCCTCGTCGGCTGTCGGGGCAAACCGATGCCGATACCGATGCCCTCCCCCTCGCTTTCCGACCTTGTTTGGGGGCCTCCTCTTAGGGGCCCTCGCCGTCACGGCTGGACTCGCCTCGGCTGGTGCAGAGGAGACCCATGCCAAGAAACACCCTGCTTGACTCCATGGGGCCCTGTGTTTCTAGGGGGGTTTCGATGGTTTTGCCGTGGCAAGCGTGACGTTCCCGCGCCAAATAGCAATGGCCGTCCTGTGGTTGAAAAAGTTGGGTTTCTTGTGGAAGGTTTCTTGTGGTCGAGCTCCTACTGTACTCCCTGACAGCGCTTCGCTGGAGGGTTTTTTCCAAACGATGTGAAAACAGCCCACAGAAGGGTTCCACATGGGGAGCCCGACCCCCTCGAATCATGAACAAATCACGACGGGAGGTTTCCCGCTATCTTCGGCCTCCAGGGGCTCCTACCGGGCCGCGGGACCGTCGAACAACGGCCCAGGATGCGAAACCGGTCCCAGGGAATGGGTCGAGACCTGTGGGGGTCGACGTCATGAGAAAACCATGACGTCGGGGGTTTGGGGGTCTGGGGGAGCCCGAGGACGCCCGCGGCCCGGCGGCTGGTCTGGCAGCCGCCCTCACAGTTTGCTCAGGAATGATGCTCGCGCATCTGTTACGGGGATGCCCGAGTCGGCGCGCGAGGGGGGGAAGGAGGAGGAGGAGGAGGAGGAGGAGGAGGAGGAGGAGGAGGAGGAGGAGGAGGAGGAGGGAGGAGGAGGAGGAGGAGGAGGAGGAGGGGAGGAGGAGGGGGAGGAGGGGGGGGGGGGTAGGAGGAGGAGGAGGAGGAGGAGGAGGAGGAGGAGGAGGAGGAGGAGGAGGAGGAGGAGGCGGAGGAGGAGGAGGAGGAGGAGGGGAGGAGGAGGAGGAGGAGGAGGAGGAGGAGGAGGAGGAGGCGGAGGAGGAGGAGGAGGAGGGGGGGGGGGAGAGAGGAGGAGGAGGAGGAGGAGGAGGAGGAGGAGGAGGAGGAGGAGGAGGAGGAGGAGGAGGAGGAGGAGGAGGAGGAGGAGGAGGAGCTTTTTTAAAGCCCAGGGGGCCACGATCCCCGGTAACAAATGGGCGGTGCGAAAATTAACCGGGGTCGTCTGCGCCCACATCGGTGCGTCAGCTGCCCGCGTAAGGTCGCTCGTGAGCGCCCTCGTATCCAACGCAGCGTGCCGTGCTGGCGGCCCGTGCAGGCCCCCGCGTAAGGTCGCCACGTCATCTCGCGGAAGACCCGCTTCTCCTCGTCGCTCCACTGCTCTGAGGTGCAGATGGTCCAGCAGTGGTGCACTGAAGGCCCGCGGGAGAGTCCCACGGGGAGGGGACGGGGCGACCGCCCGGTGCAGGCAGCCGTTTCGCCCGAGAGTTCCTCACAGTCTGTGCAGAAGTCGTGCTCTCGCCGCCATGCCGGCTACCACGGGGGACGGGACGGCCGCGATCCTTTTCGGACGGGGCTAGGACGAGGACGCATCCGTTCCAGAGCGACCCAGAGCAATCTCAGAGCGTTCCGGAACGCTCTGAGGAGTCCGCGGCGCTCGAGACATCTTCCAGAGTCTCTGGATCTCAGAGATTCTCGATTGCGAAGGCCTTACGGCCAGTGCCGCCAACCCTGCAGACGGAGACGACGAGCAGGACAAGGACGTTGAGGAGCAGGAGGCAGAGGACGTCAGTGAGCAGGATGGGGGAGGACGAGGAGGAGGAGGAGGAGGAGGAGGAGGAGGAGGAGGAGGAGGAGGAGGAGGAGGAGGAGGAGAGGCGGAGGAGGAGGAGGAGGAGGAGGAGGAGAGGAGGAGGGAGGAGGAGGAGGGGAGAGGGGAGGAGGAGGGAACTGGAGGGGATGGGAGGAGGAGGAGGAGGAGGAGGAGGAGGAGGAGGAGGAGGAGGAGGAGGAGGAGTACGCCCCCAAAGGTTCAAGAACTGTGGCATCAAGAGCAAGCTGCGCGCGGACTGCACCGGCACGGACACCGTCTTCTCTGTGCCGACTCCCGCTCCCGCGGGCGCGGTGCCCACGCCCGCGCCCGGCGGCGCGCCCCCGACGCTGCCGCCGGGCTGGGAGTCGACCATCGACCCCGCCAGCGGCAAGCCCTACTACTTCAACCGGGCCACCGGCGAGGTTCAGGAGGGGGAAAACACACGGACACCATGACTCGTGGGCTCCCAGGACGAGAGAAGGGGCACATGTGGAAAGTGGGGGGGGGGAGGACGGATACCCAGAAAATGCGGCAAAGTACGGGGAATCCTGAGACTTGCGCTTATCAATTTGTGTGTCCCAGGGTCCCTCCAGAGGTGACCTGGGATCGGCCCCTGGGGCCACTGCCACCAGGGTGGGAGGCGGCCGTCGACCCCGCCAGCGGCAAGCCCTACTACTTCAATCGGGCCACTGGCGATGTGACCTGGGATCGCCCCGACGGGTCCCCGCCGGTAACTACCGCGCCGCCCCCGACGTCCCCGTCGTTGACTACCACCACCGCACCGCCCCCGACTGCGTCGAGTGCTGCTCCGATGCCGACTGGCACCACCACCGCGCCAGGGCTGACCACCGCGCCCCCAGAGCCCGGTCCGAGCCCCACGACCTCCCTCAACATTGCGCCGCCCCCGACGCCGACGACCGCGCAGCCTGCGGCGCCCGTCGACCCGGTGCCGCCCACCACGACGCTCCCGTCCACGCCTCCCGGAGCTGGGACCACGGTCGCGCCCGGCATCCCCACGGCCGCGCCAGGCGTCAACCCGCCGTTCACGCCGCCCGGGGCTGGGACCACGGTCGCGCCCGGCATCCCCACGGCCGCGCCAGGCGTCAACCCGCCGTTCACGCCGCCCGGGGCTGGGACCACGGTCGCGCCCGGCATCCCCACGGCCGCGCCAGGCATCCTCCCGCCGTCCACGCCGCCCGGGGCTGGGGCTGATCCCGTCACACAGCCGCCGCCGGATGTCGCCCCGCCGTCAGGGCCGCCGATGGTGCCGATGCTGCCGCCTGGAGGCGGGCCGGGAGCTGGCCCATACTCGCCGCTGCTCACGCCGCCTGGAGGCGGGCCTGGCCCCGTGCCGCCCCCCTGATCGAAGACGCCTACGGCGAGTCACCGCGGCCCCTGCCTTTTGAGGACGCCGATGCGGCCAAGCGTTGGTCTGAAGTCTAGCCAAGCTGTTGGACCAATCATGTGTTCCCCCGGCCGTTGTTGAACCCCTTGAGGGAACACTTGGGAGAGGCAGGGATGAGGAGGAGAAGGAGGAGGAGAAGGAGGATGAGTAGGACGAGGAGGAGGAAGAGGAGAGGGAGGAGACGGAGGACGAGGGGGATGATGATGATGATGATGAGGAGGAGGAGGACCAGTGTAAACCCAAGACTCATCAACGATGTTGGAATACACCCTCCTTCAAAGTCCCTCTTCACAGCCCCCTACAAGGGTTCATGTCCACTGAGGAATTCCACCCTTGGGGGACATCCGTGTGAAAATCCTGAAGCGTGCCGAAACACCAGTCCCAGGATTTCAACGCCACGAGTGAACCTGAATGTTGCGTCTTGGCGATCTTGAATCTTGCCAGAACACCATTCCTGGACTTCAACACCCTGACAATCATGAAGCGTTCCGAAACATCGTTTCTGGTACGTGAACCATGAGACTCTGTGACACCCTTGTAACTCTTAAATGCGAGTATGCGCGGCGCTCAAGCGAGCCACATTTTGAAAACCAACCGCCCTCAATCCGTCAAGCTCTTGTAATTTTCAATACGAATGTGCTCGGCGCTAAGGCGGGAGCCATATTTTGAAAACCAGCCGCCCTCCATAAGTGAAGCTCTTGCGAATCGTTAACACGAATGTGCGCGGCGCCAAGGCGAGAGCCATATTTTGGAACCCAACCGCCCTCCATTTGTGAAGCTCTTGTAATTTTTCAGTAGAACGAAACGGCGCCGCGCTAAGGCGAGAGCCACATTTTGAAGACGAGACGCCCTCAATTCGTGAAGCTCTTGCAAATTTTCAAACGAATGTGCGCGGCGCCAAGGCGAGAACCACATTTTGAAAACCAGCCGCCATCCATAAGTGAAGCTGTTGCCAACTTTGAAGCTTGAGGGTCATAAATGGTGAGGAACTCTCAGGCGAACCGCCCGGCCCGCCCTTTCGATTGGCCTCGGGGTACGACAGAGAGGAGTTGTTTATAAGGGAAAAGAATGGAGGATGATGATGAGGAGGAGGAGGAGCAGGAGGAGGAGAAGGAGGAGGAGGAGGAGGAGGAAGAAGAAGAAGGGGAGGCATCTTGAGGTTCTTTTGGGGCCTCTTGGTGGCTTCCTGGGAGCCTCTTGGGGGCCTTTTGGGGTCCTCCTGAGGCCTCTTGGGGGGCTCTGTGGGAGCCTCCGAGGGACCTTTTGGCCTTCGGAGGCCGTCTTGGGGTCCTCGCAGTGCAGTCGCGAGTCCCTCTCTGGGCGCTTTCGGGCCATCTAGGGGGCCTCTTGGGCCGTCTTGGGGCCCTCTTGGGCTGGCTTCTCATCCATAACCAGTGGCAACGGGGAGTACCAGTCTGCGGGCGCTCCTCTGGCGAATGTTTCGGCGGTTTGGGAACCAAGCTGGCAGGCTTATGTGCAGCCATCTAGTTTTCGAAGGCAGGCACCGGGGAATGTTTATGCCGGGGCGAGCAGTAGTAGTAGTAGTAGTAGTAGTAGTAGTAGTAGTAGTAGTAGTAGTAGTAGTAGTAGTAGTAGTAGTAGTAGTAGTAGTAGTAGTAGTAGTAGTAGTAGTAGTAGTAGTAGTAGTAGTAGTAGTAGTAGTAGTAGTAGTAGTAGTAGTAGTAGTAGTAGTAGTAGTAGTAGTAGTAGTAGTAGTAGTAGTAGTTGTAGTAGTAGTAGTAGTAGTAGTAGTAGTAGTAGTAGTAGTAGTAGTAGTAGTTAGTAGTAGTAGTAGTAGTAGTAGTAGTAGTAGTAGTAGTAGTAGTAGTAGTAGTAGTAGTAGTAGTAGTCGTAGTAGTAGTAGTAGTAGTAGTAGTATTAGTTGTAGTAGTAGTAGTAGTAGTAGTAGTAGTAGTAGTAGTAGTAGTAGTAGTAGTAGTAGTAGTAGTAGTAGTAGTAGTAGTAGTAGTAGTAGTAGTAGTAGTAGTAGTAGTAGTAGTAGTAGTAGTAGTAGTAGTAGTAGTAGTAGTTAGTAGCAGTAGTAATAGTAGCAGTAGCAGTAGTAGTTGTAGTAATAGTAGTAGTAGTAGTAGTAGTAGTAGTAGTAGTAGTAGTAGTAGTATGATGGTTCGTATAGTAGTAGTAGTAGTAGTAGTAGTAGTAGTAGTAGTAGTAGTAGTAGTAGTAGTAGTAGTAGTAGTAGTAGTAGTAGTAGTTATAGTAGTAGAAGTAGTAGTAGTAGTAGTAGTAGTAGTAGTAGTAGTAGTAGTAGTAGTAGTAGTAGTAGTTGTTGTTGAAGTTGACTCCTGCTATGCTCTCCCGCAGCCGTTTCGGCCCTGGCGGCCCCGACGAGAGGTCGGAGGGGCTGTTTAGGGCAACATGCCGGGCGCTGCTTGCCCACCTGCGCGTGAGGAAAAACATATCTTCACATCGACATTGGTAGCGGAGCTACTGTCGAGCGGGGTCGATCCACGGCACGGTGTCCGTCGCGGGGGTCGCGACGGGTGTAGCCACGGTGGGGTTGCCCACGGTGTGGGATGGAGTTTGAGGTTTTTTTTTTTTTTTTAATTTGTGTACTTTATTTTTTTTTATTTTTTTTTTTATTTTTTATTTTTTTTCTATTGGCCTTTTTTTTTATTATTTTTATTTCTTTTTTTTTATATTTTATTATTGTAGTTTTTTATTTATTTTTTGGTTTTGTAATTCTTTTATAGTATATTCATTTTATTGCTTATTTTTTTGAGCCGTTGTTTTGTATTTTTTCTTTTTTACTTTACTATGGGTGCCCCTGCGGAGCAGGGCGCGGCCCCTGCGGCGCAGGGAGCGGCCGCCGCGGCTGCGGCGGGTGACGACACCACGCAGCAGTGGTTTGATGACTGGGACCCTCGGGCGGCAGCCCCAGGGGCAACGGCGCGGCGCGCCGAGCCAGAAGCTCCTTCGGGGGGCGGCGCCTCCGAAGCCCGCGGAGCGGGTGGGGACGGATCGTGGGGATCCAGTTGGTGGGGCGGCGCCCCTTGGGGGGACGACGTCCCTTGGTGGACCCCGCAGCGCTGGGAAAGCAGCGAGAGCCGCAGTGGCGGCTGGGGCTGGATGAGTGGGCAGGGCACTCGACCAGAGCCCGACGCCCGGGACGCACGCTACACCTCCGGAGGGTTGGGAGGTGGCGGGCAGCGTGCTTACGAGGGCTGGTCTTGGCAAGGCCGCCCCTGGTCTGAGGAGTGGGGGCAGCGCGGCTGTCAGCCAGGACCGACGTCGCCAGGGACCAGCACAGGCTGGTACTGGCAGGATTGCCCCTGGTCTGAGGAGTGGGGGCAAAGCAGTTGGCAACCAGGGTCTGGCGGCTACTGCGGGTCCGTTAGGTACGAGGGCAGCGGGCCCTCTGGACAGGAGCGCGGCGACGACAAGTTCGTGCCCGAATGGGACGGGAAAGCCGTGCCTCTAAGGACGTACGAGCGGCGCGTGAAGATCTTCGAGCTGAACGCGGCCATCCTGCCCGAGCGTCGGGGCGGGCGGCTTCTCTCGAGGCTCAAAGGTGACGCTGAAGCCAAAACAGAGAACCTCGACCCTGAGACCCTCGCTAGGCCGGACGGCGTCCGGGTGCTGTTGCGCTATCTCCATGAGAAGTACGACCAACAGGAGACGCTGAAGGTCGGCACGCTCGTAGATGAGTTCGTGGAGAAGGTCAGCCGGAACGCTGGCGAGGAGATCATGGACTTCGAGACGCGGTACGGGGCCAAGGTGCGCGAACTCGAGGAGGCGATGGAGGAGCCGCTCAACAAGCACTTGAAAGCCCACTACTTCCTGAAGAAACTGCGCGTGGGCGGCGACAAGGAGAGCCAGATCATCACTGGTGCTGGCAACGAGCTGGTCTACGAGAAAATTCGCGACTCGGCTAAAGCTTGCATTCCTCGGGTGTCTATGCTGAGGAATCGGGCGGCGGCGCCGTTCAACGGAGCCAACCGCGAGTACCTGAACAGGAATCGCCGGAGGCTCGGTGAACCCTTAGGCAGGGGCGGTGCCCGAAAGGTCCACGCTACCGAAAACGCCGAAGCCGAGGCTGAACGCGAAGGCGCCGAGGCCGAGGGCCCCAGCACGTCCGCCGAGGAGGACGACGACGACGAGGAGCGGGACTCGGAGGTCGACGCTGGCGTGGGCCCGAATATCGCGGAGAACGAGTTGGTCCCTGAGGAGCTCCAGGCGTGCCTCACGGAAAACGAGGTGCTCATGACGCAGGCTAAGAAGGCGCGCGCCGAGGCTGAGAAGACGCGCGACTTCTACCGTGGACCTGGCGGCAGGGCCAGCGGAGGCCGAGGCGCCGATTCCGAGCGCATCCGGAAGCTCAAGCTGACGCTCCCGTGTAAGCGATGTGGCAGGCTGGGCCACTGGAAGGACGACCCTGAGCGCCCTCGGGCCCCGGGGAAGGCTAGCGCGGCTGGTAAGGCGGCCGGTGCGGAAGGCAAGGGCACGTGGGTCGTGGCCCGCGCTGAAGAGCCCGCGGAGCGGGAGAAAGAACCGGCGGAGCCGGCGCACCTGGATGGTGTCGCGCTTGAGTCTCAAAAACCTCTCTCACTTCATGTCCCTCCCTCCTTTCACCTCGGAGGAACAAGAGGCTCATCCATCGAGGTCGGCGGGGCCAACAAAGACGGAAAAGGGAATGCCGGTGCGAAGGGGAATGCCGGTGCGAATGTGAATGGAGGCGCGGCCGGTGCGCAGGAGTTGCGGTGCGAAGTTGAATGCCGGTGCGAAGGAGACTGCCCGGGCGAAGTCGACAATGGCGTGAAGATAACGCGCTTCAGGAGCGAGGAGGAAGAGGAGGCCTTTCCCCTATGTCTCTCCCCTCCTTCTTCCAACCTCCAAGCCGCCGCGGGACATCCGATGTCCGTACTAGTCGCAGAAACGGGCGACGCTGTGTGGCTGATCGTTGTGGACACGGCGTGTGCTAAGTCCGTGGCGGGGCTCCGGTGGTACCGGCGCTTGGCCATCTACGTTAGGAAGAACTGGGGCATCGAGCTCGAGACAGTCACCGAGCGCGAACCTTACCGGTTCGGACCGGGGAAGACGATCTACAGCTCCCAAGCGTTGCTGTTGCCCATGGAATGGGACGGCAAGGGGGCCGTGATTAGGATCAGCTTGGTGGAAGAGGACGTTCCGCCATTGATCTCGGGCGGAGCCCTGAAGGCCCTGGAGGCCCATATCCACATGAAGGAGGCCGAGATCACACTCGGTGCCCTCAGCAAGGCCAGGCACAAGCTCAGGGAGCTGCCGTCGGGGCACCTGGCCATGGCTGCTGTCAGTTACGGACCTGGGGGGCCAGGAGCGGGCGCGCAGGAAGCCGTGAGCCGCTGCCGGGCCGGGGCTGAGATCGCGCTGTATGGGCGCGTCCGCGGATCCCCATACGAGGCCGTGCGCCGTGCGCTTTGCACGGACGGCCGGCCAGACGACGACGACCACGACGACGACGACGACGAAGCGGCAGCGATCGAGTCGACCGCAGCCCCTGTCGGTTTAGGACCCGTACGGCGAGCACGAGCAAGCGCCGTCTTCGGTGGCCCTGGGGCGCGCGCGCGGGCAGATGCCGCCATGGCGCCCGACTGTCGTGCAGTGTCGCAGCGGAGCTGCGAGGGCGAGTGTGGCAACTCGGTTGGTATTCATGGCATGGAGGGCCTGGTATCAGGAGTTGTTGGTGGATTACCTGGAGCGGGAGGTCCTCACCCTCCGCCAGAGGGAGGACACCCCTCGAAGCATCTGGGAGATGCGGAAGGCAGAGCTGGTGACGCTGGCCATGCAGCGACTCGGCTGGCAGAGGGCCCGCGCGGAGGCAGAGACCGCTGGTCAGTTGAGGCTCGTGCTTCGAGAAAAGAAGGACGAGATCCAAGCGTCGGAAGTGGAGAAAGACGACCCTCGAACAACCTTACCGACGGGCCTCACCAATATGAAGTTGGCGCAGTTGCAGGAGGAGGCCGCGGTGCGGCAGATACCGCTGACACGGTCGAACGGCGCCGACAAAAGACGGGAAGAGCTCATCCGAGACGTCAGGCTGTTCGTGAGCGAAGGCCAAGCGGAGGCCGAATGGACCCCAACGGAGGCACTGGAGGGCTCGAGCAAGATGAGTCGTGCCCAGAAGAGGGAGTCAACCGGAGTGAAGACGGAAGAGAGTATGGAGGTGGACTCCGGCACTGGGCCTGCCGAGCCGTCGAGCGGTTCAGCGGCCGCGCGGGGGACGCGCCCGGTGCTGGCAGCCATGCGAGCACGCAGGCTGCCGGCGGCGGGAAGCAAGGGCGCGGCAGCGCCCGAAACCGACGTTTGAAGGGCCCCACGGCGACGGCAGTGCGCAAGGCATGCCTGGGCATCGCCTCGGCATGGTTGCTTGGGGTAGCCACCCTCGGGACCTGGCTCGAGGAAACTGGCGGCGGGCAGTGGGCCCGTCACCGTTGGGGTACGGACCGCGTGGACGTGGTCGAGTTCTTCGGAGGCGGCAGTGACGTCAGTCGCATCGGATCCAAGAATGGTTGGTGGTGTCTCCGTCCTTGGGACGCGAAATGCGGAGCCGACCTCGCACAGGAGTCCGAGCAGGCGGAGGCCTTGGGAATGTTGAGCGATGTGCGACCGAGGTTGGCTGTGGTGGAGCTCCCTGGCTCCTCAGTCGGCGGCGCCCAACGCGGTACTCACCAGAGCAATGCCGATCAGCAGCGACAACGAGCCGAGCGACGACGGCAGCGGTCGCTGATGGAGTTTA